ATATATATATATATATTAACAGGAACCTTATCAGCACTTAATAGAAGATATAGCTCGCGTTTTACTTAAAGAGCAAAAACCTGCAACTTGCTCATGAAAAACACTTCCGAGACCAAAGGAAAATACCTGCAAGAGACAAACGTCGTTCGTGTTTACATAGCAACTGGGTGACAGTCAGCCCCAACGGTCTCCATATATATTCAAAGTGAAAACATCACTTTTTAAAGTGCCCGATAATAAATAAACAACAGTGTTCTCTCAGAGATCACATCGTTTCTATACACAACCAAACCACACACAACCAACAATGACACTTGGACATTAGACATACCTGAAGCACTACATGTAAAACATTCATTCAATTAAGTAATGGTAATGTCTTCTCACAGACGTAAAAACAAAGGATAAAAAACATAATTATGTATTTGTGAATTTTATGTAAAAAGTTACACCAATAATCCGCATTCTCCTTCAGCTTAACGTGTAACTTCAGTTTGATATAGACTTTCAGTTTGATATTAACCCTCAGCTGGGTTCTTATCTTCAGCTTGATGCTGACCTCCAGTTTGACATTGACATTCAGCTTGTTATCTAAATTAAGTTTGATGATTAACTTCAGCTTGATATCAACTCTCAACTTGGCACTGACATTACTAAAATATCTAATACAATTAGAGTCTTTCGTTGTCTAAAAATTTAAACACCTCGATTTTTAAAACTGGCGAAGTTCTGTAACAGATTTTTTCGTTGTAACTTAAACACTATCCCGAGAAATAAGTACCATCTTAAACGGGGAACTTCAAGTTTTATACAAGTTGCGGAGGAGAAAATAGAAGTTTTAACTATCTGGATGATGTTCTATGGCTATACTTGCTCGATATTGCTAAAGTTGTTAGACACCTCGGATGATCTTATGCAATAATTCTGATAGTTCCATTCTAAACTATGTGTACTTAGAAAGTTGGAAAGGGGAGCCGAGGACTCCAGGGAAGATGCAGACTCCAGGGGAGATGCAGACTCCAGGGGAGATGCAGACTCCAGAGGAGATGAGAACTCGAGAGATAAGAGGAAATGAGGGGTAGGAGAAAGGACTTGGAGGCAAGATGAAGGAAGGTTAGGAAAGAACAAGTGTGAAGATAAAGAATGCCTACAGCAGAGATGAATGAAGAGGGAATAAATCCTGATAACGAAGAGAGGAATGAAAAGTAGTTGAATGAAGAGTAGGAAGGAGTAGAAAAGGATAAAAGCGAGAGGGAAGGGTGTGGGGGTGAAGGGAAGTGGAGTCTGACGCTGGAGAGGCAGTTTTAATATCCGAGCTAAATATACCTCAAATATTTACTCTGGAGCCGCCCCCCTGCGTTCATCTATATGGCAACACCTTGCCCAACTGTTCTCTTACCTGCGCTTCTGTCAGTCTTCCTGTCTACCTGTCTGTCAAGGGAACGTTATGTCTACCTGTCTCTTAAAAAACAACAACGTTCTGCCTACCTCTCTGTCAAAGGAACGTTCTGCTTATCTGTCTGTCAAAGGAACGTTCAACTTACCTGTCTGTCAGTGGAACGTTCTGCCTACCTGTCTGCTTATTGGTAGGTCTGCCTACCTGTCAGTTTAATGGTAGCTCTGCCTACCTGTCAGTTTAATGGTAGCTTTGCCTACCTGTCAGTTAATGGTCTGCCTTCCTGTCAGTTTAATGGTAGGTCTGCCTATCTGTCAGTTTAATGGTAGCTCTGTCTACCTGTGTTCCTAATGCAAGCTCTGTCTAAATGTTCAACCACCTAGGCTGGACAGTAGAGTGACGGTCTCGCTTCATGCAGGTCAATCCCCGACCGTCTAAGTGGTTGGAAACCATACCTTTCCCCCGTCCCATCCCAAATCCTTATCCTGACCCCTTCCAAGTGCTATATATAGTCGAAATGACCTGGCGCTTTCCCCCCTGATAGTTCCCTCCCTCTATCTAAATGAACCTCTGTCCACCTGTCTGACCTAGGGGAAACTGTGCCAACCTCAATACCTGCAAGAAGCACTGTCTACCTGAAAGAAAACACTGTCTACCTGAAAGAAAGCACTGTCTACCTGAAAGAAAGCACTGTCTACCTGAAAGAAAGCACTGTCTACCTGAAAGAAAGCACTGTCTACCTGAAAGAAAGCACTGTCTACCTGAAAGAAAGCACTTTATATTCCTGTCTGTCTAAAGTAATCAGTGCCCATCTTTCAGGCTAAGTTATAACGGAAGCTCTCCAATTATCCGCTTAGAAGAAGGTGATTCATCGTGTTTGTGTCTTAAGTCTAAACATACTCGGGGTTTTCTGCCAGTATGATTTTTTTTTCGTTCTTTTCTTAACCTATAGGAAAATCCCAGCCTGTCTGTCTCCTTGGGATGGCTTTTGTCTCCACCTCTCAGGGGGTTGAATCACTACCTCTGTCTGGTGGTATTTGTATTCTTTGTTTCCCCTTAGTTGAAAATTATTCTTTCTTTTGCTCGTTTGCTTCGCGTTGTCTCCGAGTGCTAGTGACTGTACGATACAGTGTGAGGGTCTCTGAATATGCATGATGCGTTCTGAAAGGGTAGTGAATGTTTATAATACAGAGGCACTAATAAATTTTTTTCCCTCTCTCTCTCTCTCTCTCTCTCTCTCTCTCTCTCTCTCTCTCTCTCTCTCTCTCTCTCTCTCTCTCTCTCTCTCTCTCTCTCACAGCCGGAGGGAGGCCAAAAAGAGGGTTACGTCAGGACGCCGGCTTGTCGTTTATGAGGACAATTATGCCGGTAAGCGTAAGCAAACAGTTCCCCCCAAGACAGTTCGATTCCCTCTTTAATTCGAACACTGTGAATGAAGGCGAGGCGAGGGGTAAGGCGCGGTCAAGTGCCGACAGAGACAGTGCTGGGTGAGAGCGTCGCACTCTACCAAGACTAATCCAGGAACTGAAAGCTGTGAGTGACAGGGGAAGGCTGTATACAGGAATTAAACCCCACATCACTGAGAGACAGAAGAATTAGTCAAATCCTTATATATGACTAACCATCGTGGGAGATGGGGGACATTTTAGTATCATTATTCTACCATATTCACTCTTGTGTTCTTGAGGATATCCTCATAATGTATCTAAAAATTTGCCAGTGCAGTCTACTCATCACATGGTTCTGTATGACTAACCATTCTGGGTGATGGGGAATTCACGCACAACTGTCATGGGGAATGGGTATAGTAGATGAAAACATTATTTAGCATGATTTGTACTCGCTCAAGGGACTCAGGCGGAAGCTGAATGCTCATATGAACCACATAGACATTATAAATACTTGTTCAGTTTGAGATTAATGAGCAAATGAAATGCAGTAAGATGTGAGGTGGTGGTTGTAGACGCCATACACTGTTTCAAATATAGATTTGATAGAGCCCAATAGGCTCAAGAACCTATATGGTATAAGGAGCTAAAGCTTAACCATCACTGACACAATTAGGCAAACGCAAACATACACACACAACCCGTTCCTTCCCCCTTATCTGGTCAGGGGACCGGGCCGCGAGGAAGTTGAGCCCCGAAATTAACTCAAGATAAGGTACCCACGCCTTTAGGCCCTCTAGCAAGACTAATCCAGGAATCCAGTGCAACAGTTTTAGATCAACACTGGAATATACAGCACCGGTATGAAATCCGACTCTTTAGAACATACTGATCAAGCCAACATGTAATAAGGACAAAGGTTTGCATTAAGATTGGTGGCAGAGCTAAGTGGGCTTAAGCTACGAAAACTGGCTAGTGGTACCAACTGTCGTACTCTTACAGTCACTGAATGAGCAGAAGAGATATGATAACAGCATGCCAGATACTGAGGGGGAATAGATAT